CGACATCAAGAAGACGGCGAACAAAGTCCGCTCCAAGTTGAAAGGTGACCTCGCGGCGACCATCTCGGGGCGGCCATCGGGGCGGGGGGGGGTCTGCACGATGGCGGTGGCCACCTTGGGCGGGGAGGGGGTGGCCAACCCCGCCCCGGGGGAGGTCAGTGACGGAGGACGGGGTCGCGCCGTCCTCTCCTGCAGCCATCGAGCAGAGCATCGAGCAGGAGGAAGGGCTGAACCGTTCCTCGGCCGACCTCCGCATCCGGAAAACGCAGGTATCCCTCCTCCCCACCGCCCTCGCCCTTCCTCCTCCTCCTCCTCCTCCTCAGCGGCCGCTGGCGCGAGGTCCCTCGCCCACGCCGCGCCCTCCCCGCGTCCCCAGCACTCGACGCTGTCCCGCAAGTTCGTGGAGGTGATGACGGAGTACAACGCCACCCAGTCCAAGTACCGCGACCGGTGCAAGGACAGGATCCAGCGGCAGCTGGAGATCAGTAGGTGGCGGGGCCGGGGTGGGGCGGGACGGAGGAGACGCCGGGGTTGGGGGGTGTCACCCACCGTCACCTCCCCTCTCTTCGCAGCCGGCCGGACCACCACCAACGAGGAGCTGGAGGACATGCTGGAGAGCGGGAAGTTGGCCATCTTCACGGATGACGTACGTGAGGCCTCTCTGCCCCACGGCCCCCGGAGGCCCCCAGCCCCCAACGGGGTACCCAGAACCCAACGAGCCCCTGCGCGGGGGCCAACGGGACGCCCCGAACAGCCGCGTCCCTTGAAAACCAGAAGGTCCCCTGGGGCCTTTTGAGGGACCTGGTGCCCATTGGGTCACCCGGAACCCATTGGGTCACCTAGAACCCAATGAGACGCCCCCAAATCATTGCATGACCTAGAAGCCATTGCCTATGACCTGCTGGGGGACCTGCGGCCCCATTGGATCGTCTCCAGCCCAAGCAGCCCCGCCCTACGCTCCCAGCTGTCTCTCCTCCCTCCTCCCAGATCAAAATGGACTCGCAGATGACCAAACAGGCCCTGAACGAGATCGAGACGCGACACAACGAGATCATCAAGCTGGAAACGAGCATCCGGGAGCTGCACGACATGTTTGTGGACATGGCGATGCTGGTGGAGAGCCAGGTACGGGGGAAGGGGCGGAGGGAGGGCTTGGACCCGCCCGCGTTGGGGTCGAGGACCCGCACAAAGCCCCCAGCGAGGTACCGGATCCCGTGGATCCCTCCTTCCCACGGAGGAACAAAATTTGAGGGATCATTGGATCGTCTAGACTCCATCGAAACTTCTGGAGCCCATGGGGTCATCTAGAACCCATGATCAAAAGCTCTCAAGCTCACCAAGAGACCGTTGGGTCACCTAGAACCCTCCAAAACACCAATTTAGTGTTCATTGGGTCACCTTGACGCCATCGAAAGCGCTCGAGCCCACCAAGGGTCATCTAGAACCCACCAAAACCCATTATCGGGGCTCATTGGCTCACCTGGATGCCATCGAAAGCTCCCGAGCCCACCAAGGGTCATCTAGAACCCACCAAAACCCACTATCAGGGCTCATTGGCTCACCTGGATGCCATCGAAAGCTCCCGAGCCCACCAAGGGTCATCTAGAACCCACCAAAACCCATTATCGGGGCTCATTGGCTCACCTGGATGCCATCGAAAGCTCCCGAGCCCACCAAGGGTCATCTAGAACCCACCAAAACCCACTATCAGGGCTCATTGGTTCACCTGGATGCCATCGAAAGCTCCCGAGCCCACCGAGGTGCTGTTGAACCACCTAGAACCGGTCGAGCCCCCCATCCTGGACGCCAGCGTGTGTCCCCCGGGGTGCCAGCCCAGGGCGCAGCTCAGGGTTGGGCTCTGGCTTTTCAGGGCGAGATGATCGACCGCATCGAGTACAACGTGGAGCACTCGGTCGACTACGTGGAACGGGCCGTGTCGGACACCAAAAAAGCCGTAAAGTACCAGAGCAAAGCCCGGAGGGTGAGTGATGGGGTGGGGTGGGCACGGCGTGGGGGGGTGGGCCGGGAGCCCGGGTCCTCAGCGCAGGGGGGGCTTCTCCTGCTCCGTAACGCTCCTCTCTTCTCTCCTCTCTCCTCCCCGCGCTGCACGGCCGTCTTTT